AGCGGCCGTACAGGTGTGCTGAGTGCCCCAAAGCCTTCAAGGGGGCGTCAGGGCTGCGCTATCACCTGAGGGATCACACAGGTGAGCGGCCGTACGCCTGCACCACCTGTGGGAAGGCCTTCAAGAGGTCATCGCTGCTGCAGACTCACCTGAGGGTCCACACGGGTCTTCGCACATTCGAGTGTCCCCACTGCAGCCTCACCTTCAAGTGGGCGTCACACTACCAGTACCACCTGCGGCAGCACACAGGGGAGAGGCCCTATCGCTGCCCCACCTGCCCCAAGGCCTTCAAGAACTCCTCCAGCCTGCGGCGGCATCGCCACACCCACACAGGTGAGCGCCCGCACACCTGTGCCACCTGTGGGAAGAGCTTCTCCCAGGCCACCAACCTGCGGCAGCACCTGAGGGTGCACACGGGTGAGCGACCCTACACCTGTGCCACCTGTGGGAAGACCTTCACCCACTCCTCCAACCTCCACCTGCACCAGCAAACACACTCGGCCGCTCGTCCTTTCCGCTGTCACCTGTGTCCCAAGGCCTTCGTCATGGCCTCCTACCTGCAGCGGCACCTGCGCACCCACACAGGGCCTCATGCACCTGTGGGCACACCTGAGTCCCTGAGTTACCTGTTGGTGCAGAGCCCACAGGGGTGGCAGCTCGTTCCCAATGTCCCCAGGAAGGTTTGGCTGCTGCCAACCCCTCCCAGGGCACCTGGTGGTGGTGGCAACTTGGTGGCCACTGAGGCACAGGTGAGGAAGGGGTCAGACACCTGTCAGAGCGTCCTGGTGGTACCTGGTTGTGGGCAAGGAACAGGTGTCATCGTGGTGAGGGGGGGGAGTGGCACCCCTGAGGGTGGCAGTCTGCAGCTGCAGGTGACAGGTATGACAGGTGTGGCAGGTGTGGCAGGTGTGCAGCTCCAGGCAGTGCCACCAACCTCAGGTGTCACCAGTGTCCAGCTCCAAGCCACTGAGGTGACAGGTGTGGCAGGTGTGCAGCTCCAGGCAGTGCCACCACCCTCCAAGGTGACCAATGTCCAGCTCCAAGCAGGTGAGGTGACAGGTATGCAGCTCCGAGCACCTGAGATGACAAATGTCCAGGTCCAAGCACTGCCGCCATCCTCCCAGGTGACAGGTGTGCAACTCCAGGTGTTGCCACTACCAGTTGAGGTGACAGGTGTGCAGCTCCAAGCCACCAAGGTGACAGGTGTGCAGGTGCAGGGTGGGGATGTGACAGGTGTAACAGGTGTGCAGCTCCAGGCAGTGCCACCACCCTCCCAGGTGCCAGGTGTGCAGCTCCAGGCGTTGCCACCACCACCTGCG